TAGAAAAGAGATTTTTACTGCCTCCCCCTGCATTTATTCAGCAAAGACTAAACTGAACTGTTTTTCCACCTCAGGATACTTTGATGCGAGGGCTCTGGCAGTCGACTACAGGACCCTGGGCTTCAGGGAATGCGTTGGAGAGGTGGTACGGTACCTCAGCTCACTTGAGGGGGACTCCCCAGACCCTATAGGAGCTCGTCTGGTCTCCCACCTCTCTCACTGCGCGAGTGAGCTAGACCCTCTTCTCCTGCAGTCACCCCCTGCTTCTGCCCTGCCCTTCGCTCCTTGGCCATGGGCATCCTTCCCTCAAATCTCCCCTAACTCCCCAGCCTCCTCCTCCCCTCCTTTCCCCAGTGGGCGAAGGGATCTGGCCCTGCTAGGGAGCTACCCATCGCCCGCCTCCCTACGCCTCACCCCCCTGGCCGGGTGCCAGCAGGGTGCACCACAGCTCCTTGCACCTACAGCTCTTGCCACCGTCCACAGGGTGCCCTCCCTCGCAGCGTCTCCAGTCCTAGCCCCCTCCAGACCGCCACAGCCGTCTCCTCACAGCTCCAGCAGGGCCTCACCTCTACCTCTCTCAACCCCTTCCTCTTCCTCTCCTTCAACCTCCTCCTCTTCCACTTCCTCATCCTCCGCCCCTCCACAAGTCTCTTTCAGGCCCTTTGCACCTATGGGGTCTCCCACAGTCCAGCGCAGGGGCTTGAGCGGATCAGCCAAGGCGGCCCAAGGATGGGGGACTGAGATCGGTGCTTTTTGAGGGTCAGCTCTTTATTTGAGCGGACATGGACCTCCCATGTGCTCTATGTAGCAAATATTGGTTCCTTTGGAGAAAGAAGTATTCAACCTTTGATGATTGTTTCTGCTTCTAAAAAGCCATATCCGGTGATGGGTAAAGTTTCAGACGATCACAATCATATGTTACGGAACAAAGAGGGAATGTGAATGAGTAGCTCTGAATAAAGTCGTATTGTTGATTTTGCTTGACAAATACACACAAAGAAGAGTGTCCACCAGAGCCATAATCACAGTAAAACACTCAACAGAGAGTGCGGTTGAGATTTTACTGATCCCAGAACTGTGATGTTCCTGTTTTTCCAAAACATTTATACTTTTGATCATGCTTTCTGAATGTTTGACAAAATTTCTATAAAGACCAAGTGCCTTTATCTCTTTGCTCAAGTTTTCTGTGTTTTTCTCCGATTATATCAGTAAACGCAAACATGTAACTGCAGATATGCCATCTGCTATCAATACAAATGGGAAAGGAATGGTTTAAAAAAAGAAAAGAAAAAAGACTGCATGTTAGGCGTTTATCCGTATATTAACTATGTCTGCAAACACTGCCTGCATGTTCCCCAGCCATAACCCACTTGGTATCTGAGCTGTTTCCAGTGATGGCTGATGGGAGCTGTGGTCTTGTGGCTGCAGAGGATAAACATGGTGGGAGATGGTGATGTTTTTGGGATGCCGCGGCGAGGCAAACAGGCCCATCACTTTGCCCTCTAATTGGCGGTCCCCTGTAATTAACTTTACCCTCGTATCAGTCGATGTATCTTCCTCTCCTCTGCTGTCTCTCTGCCATTCTTTCTCTCCAATCTTGCGGTACACCAGCGGATATCTTCTCTCCCTGTTTGTCTGCGCCACTGTCTCCTCAACAATGGAGAGACAGAAAAGACGAGGGCGAAAAGGGAGGGATGGAGAGAGAGGAAAGACAGACTGAGAGAGGGGAAAACAAAAGGAAAAGATCTGAAGGGCTGTGGTTGAGTGACTGATTTGGTGTAGACGTTCAATAACAGGGTGGGAGGGAGGCAGGAGACAGGGTTACGGGGACTGCGAGGGTTTAAAAGGACAGGAAAAGAAGCAGTGTGAATCACAGAGAGTGGGCCAGCGTGTACGGGGTGCACGAGAAGCACCCAAAAGCTGATGAATGACACTTGCAACAAGCTTGTTTCTCAAAAACATCAGCATAATTGTGCCATGCTTCACCAAAACTGCTCTGCGGGGATGAGAGGGCAGAGAAGAGCCTTGTGTGTGTTTACTGCTGGGGAACGCTTTGATCTACTTCAGGATGCAATGTCTGTGGTCTGTGGTCCAAAAATGTGTGTGTTCCGCAAAGTGCATATTGTTTATTTGAGTGAGTGTGCTTTTGTGGGCTCGAGCCAGTCTCTTGCGCTTTCTTCTTTGTGTGTGTGTGTGTGTGTTTTGTTGAGTGTTTTGTTTATGCAGTGTGCATGGTCGTGTGTGTGTATGTGTTTGTGTAATGTGAGTATTCAGGGCTGGCGTCAGGACTGAACCGCGGTGACGGCGTGGCTCTCGTGCGATGCCGGCCGGCGGTCGGACCGACGGACAGTGTGGTGGTGGAATGTTTGTGGAGGGTGTACGCACACACATACACATATACACACACAGATACGCACTCAGGCATACAGACAACACACAACACAGACACACATAGGCTGGCTGGCACTATTCTAGCCCCTGCGTGGAGGAGCCAGAGTCACCACCACAGCTTCCAGGAAGGACAACCACAGTCACACTGTGCTGGGTTTCCCACGGGGGAGGGGAGAGAGTGAGGGTGGAGGGATGTGCAAGGAAGGAGGGAAGGAAACTTTGGAGAAAGAAGGAGGGAAATGCTGTGTGTATGTGAGTGTGCATGTAGGGCAACAGGACACGGTGCAAACTCAGTGAAGAAAAGAGGAGGGTTCAGCAAGCAGGAAGGATGGCCGAAACAAATCGGAGAGAGAACAAAGTAAACTCAGCCACATCAATGCATCACAGCTGATTTTTTTTAATTACATGTCTATAGATATAATTTTCCGAGAATAGGAACATGGTTCATTTTTTGTTTGTCTGTGCCATAGACAGGGGAGTAAAAGCCAGTCTTTCTAATGGCCAGCCTGCAGATGACATGCATGCATCACTATTGATTTTTTAAATTTTTATATAATTTTATATATATATATAACTAAATATATGTGGCTAACATTAGCTTAGGCGACCCCAGCCCATTGTTACTTCTTAAGGATTTTGTGGGGCAGCTGTTGCACTCATTGAAATCAAATAAATCTGATTATCATGAACTCCAAGTGATAAATTCCTCCTGTCTCACCCCACATCTAATTTATCTGGGGTGAATAACTGCCTGTCAGCTAATGACGGACAAATACTATAAACAAAAGGCCCCAAAAACTCAACTTTAAATTTATCTAATGAACAGAAAATGAAAAAGCCATCAGTTCTTTATTTTTTGAAGGAAAATCAAACTGACAAGCGGACCGACTACAAACCAGCTGATAATGTAATAGCCATGTCCATCCTTACTATACAGTCTTTTTCCAGGCTAACCCTAACCCTCAAACCACTGCACCACCGTACTGTTCTCAGGCCCATGTTTTAAAGGTTTAACGAAGCATTCGGATCCCCAGACGTTGTATAACACTATTACACAATAGGGTTTACTTATTAGATAATGGTAGTGCTAGCATATAAATCTAACGTTAAAAAGATCACTGAAAATTAAAGTGATTAGCACATCCACTGGCAAGTAAATGTCCAAAGTCTATACTGAACACAGTATGAGCACCAGTGGTTTATGCAGTTAATTTAGTGACCTCTGCTGTCAAAACTACAAAGGTGCAAAAGCAAAGGAAGAACATGTAGGGACAAAGATTCATTTCCTTCTATCAAAATGTAATAAAACAAATAAACTGCACAATGCAAAAATTGATCATTTATAAACATATAACAACAAACATTTGTAAACAGTTAAAATTCATTAAAACAATGTTCATCCAGAATTGCCACCTTGCACGTATATTCTCTGTTCACGTCACTGTTTGTTCAGGATAGTGGACATTATATTTGTTGCATGAACTTTAAAACCACAATTTTAGCTGATTTTATGTGAACATAGTGCTGTAGCCCCGACAGCAGTTTCCATTACACCTGTTACTGCAAAGTGGTTCAACTCCTGATGTTTAGAAGAAAGTCCTCCAAATTTAAAACAAGACGGGTACATTTACTAGAACACAGAGAAATGTGTGTATCTGGGAGCATTTGACTGTTAACGCTGTTAACGCTGAGTCCCGTCTGGACTACAAAGTTTCTCTTGAGATGTTAGGATGCCGATAAACATGTTCTTTCTTCGTCCATGGTGTAAAGTATTCACTTGAGGTTACAAACATCCGCCACAAGGTGGAAGCATTGCAAAGAGGAGTGGTTATTCTTTACAAATTTTGCCATCTTGGTCTATGGTTTGTGTCATGTTTATTTAAGCTGGAGGTGGGCTTGCTCTGCAATTTTCAGGCAATATTTTAAAGAGGCCGGTGTATATGTTTATGTAGCTGTTGGTGTTAGAGATCATGTGGCTAGAGACTGCCATGTCCTCACATGTGTAGAGATATCCCATTATGATTTGGTGGTCTGGGCTTGGCATTAATTTGCTTTGTTTCTCCTTTGTTTTCTCCTTTCTTTTGTAGCCAGAGCCACTGCCAAATGTCCTGTACATATTTTCCATAGTATGTTTTTGCTTTTTTCTCCTTTCTGAATGTTCTCTGTATGTCATTAAACTGCTGTAAGAACCCCTTTTATTGTGTCTTGTGTGGCAACTAATTACCCGGGCAGAAGTTTTGGGAGCTTGTTGGGGCTGGAGCATGTACATGTGTGTTAATACAAAACCATAATCCTCCCAGGAGCAGAGATTCCAGCAAATTCGCCCTAAACACAGAACGTGCAATCCTTTGAGAAAACCCAAACAAAACATAAAACCCAAGAGTTCATTTATAGATTGCAAAGGCCTCAGTTAACATTTTAAATGTTAAAGTTCATGTCAGCACGATCACAAAAAACTGAACAAGTGGCTAAAAAGAACATAGCAGCACATTTTAGGTTAGGTTAGCTGTGTTGCATCTAAACAAACAAAAATTTCTGGAACATTTTCCTTTTGGTCAGATGAGACTAAAGTGGACATATTTGTTTAATAAACATGTCAGACAGACAGCTCATGTTTGAAATGATTTATTTAGGTTCCACAAAAATCCCACTGAGAGCTGTGAAGTCTTCAAACTTAATTTCACACATGTTACAAGTAGATCCCTGAGTCTATGGGCAGTTTTTAAGGGAGAAACCCGACACAACATTGGTGACTTTGATGACTTTGGGAGGAGCAGGGATGGTGATGACACGCTTCAGGTAGCAGCGACGCCTACAGTACAAAACCCAACAGTTTAAATTAGAGACTGGAGATATAGTTGTCATCAGATTACAAAAAGTGTGAATACAACAGATTAATAAATGTGACGTGGTTTCTGGGTGCGACGTGAATTACTAGTTTAAAGTGTGCACAGAAGTATTCGTAATACTTCACCGATAACTGCGATCAAAGAAGGTTTCATCAGCGTAGGTGTAGAACTGGCAGTGAGGGTCCTCAGTGCATGTCTTCTGGCATGTGTCTGCATCATCCATCAACTCATAGCGAATGTCAGAACCATTGAAATCTACTCCTTCATAAGCCACTCTGGCCCAGTCTGTTAGCAGAAACACATGTCACTGTGCTGAAGGGATGGACACATAAAATATTCCTGTGCATAATTACAGTGTCTTTAACAATATTAGGCTACCTTTACAGAACAAAGCCCAAAAGATGATTGTCTCACATCCACATGTTGTATTAGAGGAAAATGACATAGATTTGGTTTGTCATCATGTCTGAAATACTAATTTTTACATTAACCCTCTCGAGGCAGGCGTTGCCGATTTGCAACAGTTAAAAACTAACAACCCGATTACCCCACATACATATTTCTGTTTTGTTTGAAGCTAAAGAAACACTTTCAAAACAAATCAGATTTCAGTGATGTCAGATCTATACTTGTATGACCTCAAAATCCTCCTTAGTAGTTTGTTTGGCCCCTAGACGTGCATGCCTAAGCCTGTTCTGAAGCGGCCTAACCACATCAGGGCATGCATGTCTAATCATACTTATGAGACAGTCGATGGTGTCCTGGGGTATCTCGTCTGGGATCTGGACCAGTGCAACCTGACAATGTGGGACTGAACCATAATGCCCTAGAGGTGGGGGAATCAATTACTTCATCCTCCAGGAACTGCCTGATTGAGTGTTTCTTAAGGTGTTCCAGGTTCCAATAAATTGAACATTTATGTAACAGTGATATAATTCAGTATTCACCCACATTTATTTGTCTACTTTTTAAATTTGTTTGATGATCTAAAACATGTAAGACTGTGAAATATTCAGAAAAATGAGAAATCAGGTAGGGGCCAAATACTTTTCACAACACTGTATGCTGTTCAGTAACTGTTCGCTCACAAACACGTTCATGCGGAGCATTACAGGTTGATTTGCGCTACTCACTGTCGTCAAGCTGACAGGAACGGTGTGGTAGCCCTGAAGTGCCTGTATCTGCCCTGGTGACTATTTCATGTGTGTTTTCCTTCAGGTAACAAACAAAGGTATTCCTAAAAAACAAACAAATAAAATCAAAAAGCCTTAAAATCAAAATGTGTAAGAGGGTCTAAATGTTTGCATATAATGTAGAGCTGTAGAGCTATAATTCTGCACTTAAGTACAGTTTTATTACACTGCCTGTTAGACATGAAAGAAAAAGAAAAACACATAAGATATTTGTTTCACTCTCAGATGAGACGTTGTCTGAAACACAAACAACTACCTGTTATAAGTGAAGTAGGTGCAGCGCGGATGAGTTGAGCACAGAGTCTGACAGTGTTCAGGAGAGGCAGCAGGCAGAGACTCAATGTCACTTCCTGGGATGTCAGTGTTTGGAAAAAGCTTTCTCTGACATACTGAATACAAAAGAGGAAAGACATTTGTTTTGTTTGATATGCTTTTATATTCCCATGTGAAGCACTTTGTAATAGATTCTAGTCTTAAAAGGCCCATATAAATACATTTTACTTACTTACATTAGGAAAACACACAGGCAACAAACAGGAAGTGGGCCGAAAGCTACAACTAGGTCTATGTACCTTTGTCAAAGTGCTGAGTTTGGTTTGTTTTTTGGGAGAATCCAGATGTTACATCAGCTTTTCTTTCAATAACAGGAGTCCTTGGTACAGTCCAACTGAATTTTAGGTAACACTTATACCTTAAACAGAACAAGAAATCATATTCTCCTTTGCTGTTAGAGTGCAAAATATCATGGACAAACATGGACATGCAGTTTAAAAAAACAAGATGTGACGCAATAAAATGCAATAAGATGAACTTTGGGAAATCAGAATCAGAATCAGAATCAGAATCAGAATACTTTATTGATCCCTGGGGGAAATTATTTTTTGTTACAGTGCTCCATTTTAAACCAACATTAAGACAAGACAGACAATACGCTAACTAAGAATGCAGAGGTGTAGGACAAATCTTTTGTGGTTAAACAATAAATAAATATGGAAACATGTTTAAAATAAATACACTATCCTAACTCAAATTTACCTGACTTTACTATTTGAGAAATTCTGTTTTACAAAAGTGAAGAACTGACACGCAGGGTCCTGAGTGCACACTCGCTGGCACTCCTTGTGGTCACCTGTGAACAAGGACCTGTAGTCTCCCCCGATAAAGTCCATGTTTTGGTACAGCTCAGACAGGCAAGGTTCTGTTTCAAACAATAGAAACATGCATAGAGAAAGGTAAACTGGAGGTGAACATACTTCATGAATTGCTTAATTTTTAAAATGGTTTATTAATGGTTGTAAGCCTACGTGGGCCTGGGCTGCAGGATTTTAGAGAAAAACCAGAAGTGACACCCTGTACTGGAGTCTGAGCACTGGGCTCTCCTGAGGGAGTGGACTTTAGGTAGCAGTAGAAGTGCCTGCAGAGACCGACAAGTGGAAGGAGCCATAGTAAAACCAATATAACACATATATAACAGATCCTGAAATAACATGACATACTGTGCTTCCTATAGCTGGATATGGGTCTTTAGACTTTTGGCTGAACTCTGTGAAATCTTAAGTTGCCATCAGTGAGAGGCAGTAACCATGGGTGAGTATACTGGTATACAGTGTGGGACAGCTCTGTAACATCGTGGAAGTTGGGGAGAGTGCCTCTGGATTGGCAGACTGGAGGGATGGTGTGTTCAAACTTCAAGGGGATCAACCTCCTCACTCAAAAAAGTATATGCCATGGAACTGGAGAGCACAGTCTGTTGAATTTTGTGGTGAAAGAGAAACAAGCACAAAGGTGATTTTGATTTTTGTCAATCTAACTTCTCACTCTCACCCAGGACCAGGAGTAGATCACAGATACAAGAAGCAGAAATTAGTTCAGCTCAACTTTAGAGATACGGTGCAGAGAAAGGTCATTTGGAAGGAACTCGTCGCCTTGTTTGGGAACACTTTGGTGGTGTTGCTTAGACTGCTGCACCTTACAACCTGCCACTGCAAGATGGACCTGGATAAGTACGTGTATATATTGCAACTCATTTGTGCCAGTCATACCTGTCATCGTGGGTCCAATCAGCACGAATAAAGCTAAAGAAGAGGCAAGAGGGGTGCTGGGTGCACAGGAGCTGACAGTGGTTAACATCAGGGGAGTAGAGAAATGTTATGTCATTTCCCGGGAAATCCATGTTCAACAGAATATTTGGATTACATGCTGAAGAACAGAAAAGGGAAATATTTAAGGAAACATTTACATGTACAAAGACGTTGTTCATATATCACAAACATTTAACCACACAAAAGTGCCAAAAAAAGCATAATGGTAGTTGCATACGTTTAGCCCTGTCATAACAATATATTGCATAGTGCATCATACCTTGACATAAAGAAGAGCTGAGGAGGGAGAGAAGACCAACGAAGATCAAATGTGTTATCATCTTTAACGTTTAACATCAGAGGAAATGAAACTCATCAAACACGACTACATTTAACGAAAAGGCTGTGCAAATAGAAAATGGTCCTTTGAGCCATCCAAAGGGCAATTTTGCAATCGGATCTATTTGCACAGCCAATCTCTGGCACAGTCAATAACCTGCCCTACAACTAGAGTTTAGATAATTTTATGTTGGCATTTACCAAAGTGAAAATTTATCATGTGCTTTGATTATTGTGTCTAGCTTTGGTTGTTGCCATATTCCATAAATGAAGCTGGCCTCCCATGTGTACAGGCTGATTTTGGGTTCATACTGAAAAGCGTGTATGAATGTTTAAGTAGCAAACTGCAGAATTTAGTTTATTGCTCTTTACTTTCAGACACTGACTTTTCCAAATGCAGAGAACAAACAACACACAAACTGAAATGCAATCACAGATACTAACAGGATCAGTGCCCGATGAATGAAGTGAATCCATCAGCAGAGGGCAGTGATGTTGTACTCTTATCATTATATAATCCTGTTGAACGATACAAAGGACTCCAACTGTAGAAAGACAGACTGGTGCTATGTCTGGAGATTCCCACACAAAGAAATGTTAACATAGGTGGTTAATGTCATAGTCCTGCCCGCAAGAAACCTTGCATGTTTTGCTGTTATGTGTCTTGCACAGTTTAAGGTTTTTCTGCCTTTTCGTGTCAGAATTTAAACATCTTTATGTTTGATAACAGTTGATAACATTATCAGAAAGGAAACACTCAGGAAACAATGACATACAAGAGTATAACAGAATAACCAACAAAGCACTAAAATGAATTTAAAAGAGTTTTGACTCAGTAGCTTGGAGCACCACAGTCTCACCTCCTTTCCTATTTCTCAGTTTGCACACACTTGATTTGTCTCCTTGTCTTCTCTCCTTGGCTCTTAGTCCTTCCTACCTGGCATGTGAACGAAGGCCACTTGGGGAGCGTGGAACAGCTGCATCATAAATTGTTTCATTAAAGCCCAACTACTGCCGTGTAATGCTGTCAAATGTAACAGTGCTCCTCAGTTTTTCTTTGATATTCAGGGCTACATGTAATTACAATTGCAACATGGCTCATACAGTGATAAGATATTATTCCAATTTTGTTTTGTTTTGTTTTTTGATCCCCCACACACAGTGGGTCGAACATCTGGAATGAGTAAAACAGCTTGTGTACACAAAGGACTAGCTGCTTAGAAAAGCTAAAAAGAGAGGAAGGCTGCTTTGTGCAGAGGAATGCAGTGCACTAACTGAAACACAGCAAGTTATCAATGTGACCTCACAGCTAATCTGCAGCTGATTAGCTCTTCCTTTGATATTAATTTACCAACATTAATTTTTTTTGCATTATTTTTTTTTCCATCTGTATTCGACATCTTAGAATAGATTTTTGAACAGGTTTATGATTTAATCCTGTCACTGGTGGTTTTCTAGTGCGCCAGCTGGTAGTAGCCTTCCAGGTGTGGTCAGTGAAAGTTGCTCCCACTTACTTTACATGCGGATTTGATCCTTTGTTTGGTGTTTTGGTTTGTTGATGGTAATTGTTTGCCTCCTGTTGGTCCCATCTTTCTTTCTTGCCTTGGTTAGAATTTTGAAAACTCACATTTGCTTGCCACGGCTTTTTAGATAGAAATTGCCGCAGTGACATGTTAGAGGGAAACATTGGGATCATGTGTCCTTCCTTTATGTACAAATGATAACCCACTGGCGCCAGTGCCGACCTCTCAATGCATGTAGACATTAAGAGTTCTCGGGAGGGGCCATGCGGACACCTGCTGCTTTCTGGCAGGAAACACCATGCCCTCCCGTGTTTTAAATGCACTCTAGAACAACACGCGGCAAAACTACACATGAGCGGACGGAGGGAGGTATGGGGTCTTCCCACACCCCGTTCTCTGTTAGCCATCGGGGCAGAGGGGCTGGACGGAGGTGTTGGCCTCCAATTGGGATCTGGGATGCAGGGGGCGGCCTGCTTGTCTCCACCCCGGGGGAAAGGGTAGCATCTGGACCTGGACCTGAGGTAGAGAGTATGTTTGGGGAGCGTGATTGTGTGTACAATGTCCATTTGTGTCTGTCTTTACGTTGTGTGAGTGCTGAGTATTTGTATATGTGTGCACAAGGGTAGGAATGCACGTTTGTGTCTGCGTGTGCCTGTTTGTCTGTTTCTATATGTCAGGTCGGATCTCAGACTCCACCTCTCTGGCAACATCTCAGGACTATCTCCCCTCACCACACTCCCTGCTGGTGGCCAATGGCCTCAGGTGTCAGTGTGTTGGTGGCGCCCGTGGCTCGGTCGGGCCTCTTCGGGGATGTGGGGGGCCCTCAGGCCTTCGGCCTCTGGGCCTGTGGCTTTGGCACAGCTCGCTGCGGGCAGAGCCTGCGGGCACACCACTGCAGCCCCTTCTGGCTTCTGCTCAGTGGCTGCTGGGTGACCTCTCGTTTGGGACTCTCCTCAGCTCTTCCCAGGAGGGTGGCACAGTTGCCCCCTTGGTGGTCCTCCTTGGGCTCTCGCACTCTGGGGCCTCTGGATGTCTGGGGCCTAAGTCTCCTCCATACCTGCTTCATGCCCTGGGGGACGGGGCTATGGCTCCCCAGACCATCTAGCAGATCATTACGTGGAGAAACCTTTTGAATACAAGCACGCTGATACACACAGGTGTGCACACAGGTGTACACAGACACAAACGACACCTTTCTTGGCTGCTACCTCAAAGCACATTGTGCGCTGTCGGTCCTGCGTGCTGCATAACAACATTCAATATTTAGTATTTACTGTTATTTACTGTTAGCTAGATTAATGCGATAGTGCTGTGTTTATTATGTTGCTCCCTCTTTTTACTTGTTTTCTCTTTTTCTCTTTTCTTTCTCTCAACAGGTGATCTGTGAGATTTTTTTTCTTTTTAAGTGCCCTTTCTCACTGTCCCTCTTCCCCTCTGTGTTTTGTTCCTTCATCTTTCTTTCTCCCTTTCCTATCCCCCAGTCATGTCTGTCCCATCTGTGACAACTGAAAATAAAATAAAATAAAATAAAATAAAATAAATAATAACAGCAAAGTTCGATCAAATGGACCAAAACAGCAAGGCCGTGATGATCCACTTGGCAAAGTAAATCCATTAGGTATCTTTGTTGCCTTTCAGACATCAATTCTGACGGCTAAAAAACCATATGGGACAGGCAAAAAATAAATAAATAAATAAAATAAATGATAACCCATGCTGACCCATTATATCCATTTAAATGACAAAGTTTAAATGGAATGTAACTGAAAAAATGAAACCAATTATTTGGCTGAAACTAAACTTTATCAAACTTAAAATGTAACTCTAATAGTGTCACTTAAAATTACTTGTAATACTCAAATAATTTCCATGTGATGTTTCTCAACACAAAAAGGTGGAAGTGCACTTGATAAAAATTCTTCAAACGTTCTTTAGATTTAAAACGTATGTTTATGTCAGATCAACTGAATTTAATGTGACACTTATATGTTAGACAGAACAAGAAATTTATGTTATCAATCAGCTAATCACTCAATCAATCAGTCAATCTACCCAGACGATATACGAGATGATGATGAACACTGGAGGGAAACATAGGTATGGTGTTTAAAAAAATAGCCTCCACCACTCCATCAAAACTCCAAAGCTGAACTCTAGGAAGTCCAGAAAGTCCAGAAAGACGCAGTTTTGCCTGTTTATTCTTTCCTTTCCTTTCAAACCATTTGCATCAGTAATAGTGTAGAGCACTTTAAAAAGCACTGACTGACAAATCTAGACTTTTCTAATCAAAGTTTAACTGCTTTTGTCTTTGAAACTCTCTTGTGTAAAATATAAAAACTAACATGCAATGTCCTTCTCTCAAAAGCACAGCCAGCTTTATGTACAGCTACCATGAACACAAACTTAGAGTTTAGATGATATTGTGTTGGTATTTTCTGAAGTAACTGGGGGGGAGGGGGGGACGTAGAAGGCAACATACAAAACCAAGAGTATGAACTCAAGAACAGCATGCTCTAATTGAAGCATGGGCCACAACGTTTTCTTGATATACGAATCTATGGTTTGGGTGACAGTTGAAGCAAGCCACCACCTGCCCCTGTATCACTTTCAGACCTGCCCCTGTATCACTTTCAGTCACCATGGTCCTGGGACAATAGGAGAAACCAGATAGCTTTAACAGTGTCAAAAGCACGCTGACAAGATGACCACTCATATTTGATTTTAGCCTTCAGTTCTATGACAGCAACCAAACAGTGACAGCCAATGCAAACTGGGAGCTGGTTCCAGAGCAGGGCCCTGAAAGCTGAAGGTGCTGCCACCCGTTCTACTTTTGCATACTGTAGGAATGACAAGTAAACCAGGAGTCTGAAAAAAATGTTATGTTGGGATAGTATGAAACTATGAAATGATACGTGACTATCTAAGACCTTTTATGTAAGTTAAAGGATTTTAAAATTCATTCTCAATTTAACAGAAAACCAAGAGAAGCTGACGGAATAGATATATGTTCTCTTATTGTAGTCCCAGCTAATGTCTTCAAAACATTCTTGGAGTTTAACTAACTAACTGGACTGCATCATATGGCTTCATAGGTAAATAAAGCTGGTAAAATGTATATTATGCCATCTGACAATAGTGCCTAAATGAAGCCTGGATAATAGGAATAGAAATGGTCCTGGCATAGAACCCTGTGGAACCCCATAATCAGCCTCAGCGTGTGAAGAATACTCGCCATTATGGCAACACCCCAAAAAACACAGAAAGCTCATGAGCTCCTTCTTGTTTGGGGAAAACAAACATTGTTCAGGGGAAAAGGTTTTAAAACCGGTTCAACAGGTGAAACCACTCCAACCTCCCAGACAAACAGGGCAGTGGATAAGACATTTCACACAGTTTTAGTGATCACATCCCTCTTTAACCAAGTCCAAAAGATGCACATCTGTAAATGGCTCTAAATGTTTTGGAACTCAAATGCCATAATTTGTGATGGGGGTCTCCTCTGTACCTGGTTTGAAACTTGCTGGCTCAT